TTGTCCCTGTTGCCCAGTTAAGTATCACTGTTGCCCCTGTTAAGTATAACTGTTGTCCCTGTTGCCCATTTAAGTATCACTGTTGCCCCTGTTAAGTATCACAGATGCCCCTGTTAAATATCACCGTTGCCCCTGTTAAGTATCACCGTTGCCCGTGGTAAGTATCTCCGTTGCCCCTGTTAAGTATCACCGTTCCCCCTGTTAAGTATAACTGTTGTCCCTGTTGCCCTGGTAGTATCACTGTTGTTCCTGTTGCCCTGTTAAGTATCACTGTTGTCCCTGTTGCCCTGGTAGTATCACTGTTGTTCCTGTTGCCCTGTTAAGTATCACTGTTGTCCCTGTTGCCCTTGTAAGTATAACTGTTGTCCCTCTTGCCTTGGTAGTATCACTTTTGTCCCTGTTGCCATAGTAGTATCACTGTTGTCCCTGTTGCCCTGGAAAGTATCACTATTGCCCCTGTTGCCCTGGTAAGTATTACTGTTGTCCCTGATGCCCCTGTTGCCCTGATAAGTATCACTGTTGTCCCTGTTGCCCTTGTAAGTATAACTGTTGCCCATGTTGCCCTGGTAAGTATCACTGTTGTCCCTGTTGCCCTAGTAAGTATCCCTGTTGTCCTTCTTGCCCTTGTAAGTATAACTGTTGTCCCTCTTGCCTTAGTAGTATCACTTTTGTCCCTGTTGCCATAGTAGTATCACCGCTGTCCCTGTTGCCCTGGTAAGTATCACTGTTGTCCCTGTTGCCATAGTAAGTATCACTGTTGTCCCTGTTGCCCTTGTAAGTATAACTGTTGTCCCTCTTGCCTTAGTAGTATCACTTTTGTCCCTGTTGCCATAGTAGTATCACTGTTGTCCCTGTTGCCCTGGAAAGTATCACTATTGTCCCTGTTGCCCTGGTAAGTATCACAGTTGTCCCTGTTACCCAGTTAAGTATCACTGTTGTCCCTGTTGCCCTGGTAAGTATCACTGTTGTCCCTGTTGCCCAGTTAAGTATCACTGTTGCCCCTGTTAAGTATAACTGTTGTCCCTGTTGCCCATTTAAGTATCACTGTTGCCCCTGTTAAGTATCACTGATGCCCCTGTTAAGTATCACCGTTGCCCCTGTTAAGTATCACCGTTGCCCCTGTTAAGTATCACCGTTGCCCCTGGTAAGTATCTCCGTTGCCCCTGTTAAGTATCACCGTTCCCCCTGGTAAGTATCACTGTTGCCCCTGTCACTGTAGCGAGTATTACTTTTTTGCTCTAGCAAGGTTGTTTTTTATTTGTTTGGTTTATGGATGTGGTTGTTTTTACAATGCATTATTATTATCATAAAGTGCAATTGATTATTTAATGGTACATGATTGGGTACCACTGAGTTTGCGATGATATCACATCAACTATAAAAGCAGTTCTTAACAAGCCAATATTGACTGTAGTTATTCAACACAGAAATTGAAAGAAAGAACATGTATACTCATGCTTTAAACCTCTTGTCACTCCAAAAACAAGCATGAATATTGTGTTTGTTTTCAGAAAAATTATTTCAATGCCTGATTGTTTCATTCATAAAGAAGAGTATCGAGTGGCATGAAGCATGTATTTACTACAGCATGTTGTCACTAACAGGCAGTTATAGCAAACAAAACATGGACCTTCACTGATGGGCAGACCAGACAAAACATGGCCCCTAACTGACAGGCAGACCACAGACGAAACATGGACCTTCACTGACAGGCAGACCAGACAAAACATAGACCTTCACTGATGGGGAGACCAGACATAACATGGACCTTCACTGATGGGCAGACCAGACAAAACATAGCCCCTAACTGACAGGCAGACCACACACAAAACAAGGACCCTCACTGACAGGCAGACCACACACAAAACATGGACCCTCACTGACAGGCAGACCACACACAAAACATGGACCCTCACTGACAGGCAGACCACACACAAAACATGGACCCTCACTGACGGGCAGACCACACACAAAACATGGACCCTCACTGACAGGCAGACCACACACAAAACAAGGACCCTCACTGACAGGGCATACCACAGACAAAACATGGACCCTCACTCACTGGCAGACCACAGACAAAACATGGACCCTCACTGACAGGCAGACCACACACAAAACATGGACCCTCACTGACAGGCAGACCACACACAAAACATGGACCCTCGCTGACAGACAGACCACAGACAAAACAAGGACCCTCACTGACAGGCAGACCAAAGACAAAACAAGGACCCTCACTGACAGGCAGACTGGTTTGTGTGTAGGAGGTCCAGCTGTATGTTGTGTGTCTGTGTGTAGGAGATCCAGCTGTATGTTGTGTGTCTGTGTGTAGGAGATCCAGCGGTATGTTGTGTGTCTGTGTGTAGGAGATCCAGCTGTATGTTGTGTGTCTGTGTGTAGGAGGTCTAGCTGTATGTTGTGTGTCTGTGTGTAGGAGATCCAGCTGTATGTTGTGTGTCTGTGTGTAGGAGGTCCAGCTGTATGTTGTGTGTCTGTGTGTAGGAGGTCCAGCTGTATGTTGTGTGTCTGTGTGTAGGAGGTCCAGCTTTATCTTGTGTGTCTGTGTGTAGGAGATCCAGCTGTATGTTGTGTGTTGTTCATGCATGTGTGTCCGTGTAAAGAATTCAGCCTTATGTTGTATTCAAGAAATGTATTTAGATAATTGTGTGTTTACAGGAGATATATAGCAATGAGATACATGGCTATGGTAGAGAGCTGTAATCAATGTTTCTGTTGTCTACCCCTTCCAGCCAATGTTAAAACTTGTAGGTAACAAATTGATATGTACCCAGACCTCCCATTTCATGTGGTCAGGCATGAACTTGTTAGTGATGTAAGAGGATGGTTACTACTCTAGGTTCCCTAGTGACTGTCTTCATAGACACCTTGGTGGTTATCTCCCTTTGATGAGTTTTTGCCAGTACAGCTTGTATCAGGCCAGATTGGAAACACTTCACCTGTAAATCTTGCTTAGTGTACTTTGTAGAGAATCTGATGAAATAAGTTTATTGTTGACGTTTAAACTCTCTGATACCTCATTAGGATTTACAGTGAACAATTACAATGCATTCTACCACTGTATGTCTCCACATGTATATTTACCTATATAAGCTAAAAACAATCAGAAATCCATGTATTGATAACTCATCTAACTGTTCCTTCTCTACAACAACCTAAGCTTGTGTGAGGCAGTTGATACCAAGTGTCATCTTTTTATTATGTTAACAGAATCTTGTAAAGGTAAACCTTTCTGAAGTAATCTACCAGACTCAAACACTCAGGTCTGGCATCAACCCTTCTCAAATATGTCCTCCAGCTATTAATATTTTTATGGGAGTTATGCCCCTTTTGCAAATTAATTATTAAGTTAAGTGTTTATGGGTGTAAATGCACATCATCATGTTAAAACAGAATTCAATATTACACAGTATCAGTACATGATTTTATGTGACCATTTTTTTGGAAATGTTTTTATTTTATTTAACAGGTTAAAAAAAAATGTTTTGTTGATTTAACAATGAATTTTTAGACAAATGTTTAGATGATATTACAGAATATATATATATATACACTTCAAGTGCATGTAGCTGATACATACATAAACCTAGAAAATACCAAGTGGGAAACAGAACTATCATTATCAAGCATGTTTTTATCCATGTGTACTTGGGGCACCCAAACCTGTTCTGTACCCAAAATATCTCTACAGATTATCATTCATATGTACCTGGGGCCCCCATACCTGGTCTGTACCCTGTATATCTACAGATTACCATACATAAATACCTGGGGCCCCCATACCTGGTCTGTACCCTGTATATCTACAGATTACCATACATAAATACCTGGGGCCCCCATACAGTGTGTGCATATATATCTACCCATTCCATAGATAAGGATGGAGATCACCTTGTCCCTGTATAGACATTACCATGCATAAATACCTTGCCCCCATTGATATGACAGTGACAGCATAAATACCTGGGGGCCCCCCCTCCCTGTATATTAAGATGTGATGGATATTGCCTTGCCCCTTAGAGAGTGATACATAGATTACCATACATAAATACCCCCATACCCTGTACCCTGTATATCCCATACCCTCCTTCCTCTCCCTACCTGGATCCCATCCCTTCTACAGATTACCATACATAAATACCTGGGGGCCCATACCTGGTCTGTACCCTGTATATCTACAGATTACCATACATAAATACCCCCTCCCTTCATATCCCATCCCTCCTCCCCATCCCCACCTTTCTGATCCCATCCCTCCAACCTCTCTACAGATTATCATACATGTGTACCTAGGACCTTGTCAGTAATACAGTTTGTTTGCCTTGTCGCCAGCAGATTGCCTTGATCCTACAGTGATGCAGATTGCCTTGCCCCCTTGACAGTGTTGCATATTGCCTCCCCCATTCTAAAGATAAGGATGGAGATCACCTTGTCCCCTAGACATTGATGCATATTGCCTTGCCCCCATTGATAGTGACAGCTTGCCCCCGCCTCCCTTAAGATGTGATGGATATTGCCTTGCCCCTTAGAGAGTGATACATAGTGATATAGAGAAACCCCCTCTTCCCCCTCCCTCCATATCCCATCCCTCCTTCCTCTCCCTCCTGATCCCATCCCTTCTCCCCCTCCCTCCATATCCCATCCCCCCTCCCTCCTGATCCCGTCCCTCCTCTCCCTCCCTCCATATCCCATCCCTCCTCCCCCTCCCTCAATATCCTATCCCTCCTCCCCTCCATCCTGATCCCATCCCTCTTCCCCTCTCTCCAGATCCCATCCCTCCTCCCCCTCCCTCAATATCCCATTCCTTCTTCTCCCCTCCTACTCCATCCTGATCCCATTCCTCCCCCCCCATCCTTCTGATCCCATCCCTCCACCCCCTCCTTCAAGATCCCATCACTCCTCCCCCTCCCTCAATATCCCATCCAATCCCATCCTCCCCTCCCTCCTCATCCCATCACTCCTCCCCATCCCTCCATATCCTATCCCCCTCCTCCTCCCTCCTGATCCCCTCCCTTCTCCCCTACCTCCTGATCCCATCCCTCCTCCCCCTCCCTCCTGATCCCATCCCTTCCCCCTCCTTCCTGATCCCATCCCTCCTCTTCCTCCCTCCATATCCCATCCCTCCTTCCCCTCCCTCCTGATCCCATCCCTCCTCCCTCCTCTCCCTCCCTCTCGTATCCCATCCCTCCTCTCCCTCCCTCCATATCCCATCCCTCCTTCCCCTCCCTCCTGATCCCATCCCTCCTCTCCCTCCCTCCATCCTGATCCCATTCCTCCCCCTCCCTCCTGATCCTCTCCCTTCTCCCCTCCCTCCTGATCCCCTCCCTTCTCCCCTCCCTCCTGATCCCCCTCCCTCCTGATCCCATCCCTCCTCTCCCTCCCTCCATCCTGATCCCATTCCTCCCCCTCCCTCCTGATCCTCTCCCTTCTCCCCTCCCTCCTGATCCCCTCCCTCCTTCCCCTCCCTCCTGATCCCCTCCCTTCTCCCCTCCCTCCTCCCCCTCCCTCCTGATCCCCCTCCCCCTCCCTCCTGACCCCTTTGGTGATTATTAAGGACCCTTCTTTTGACTTCACATGACCATAATTGATGTCAGTCTACCTCCTTTTAGGGATGTGAACTTCAGCTCTACTTTGTGGTGTAGGAGTCCTGTAACTTGCCTGGGGAGGAAGATCATGCACAATTAACCTTTCTCTACAAACTTGATATTAGCACACTCATGCCTGCTGACTTCCTGCAGGTCTTTGAAATTTCTTTAAATTTCTTTCAAGAAACTTGTAGTTCTGGGAGTCTCATGTATGTTAACTTCTCACAATGCATCTTGTTGTAGCTGAGGGCTGGCAGTCTTAATATGTTTTCTAAGATGATGTGATGTTTAGTTAGAATGTCACAATGGCCTAATGAAGAAAACTGATTGGTGCTCCTGTGTGTCTTTGTGTTAGGTGGGACTGATAGGCTTAGACAACTGTGGTATTAAGGTTTGATAAGATTTGTGTAAGTGAAGTAATGATGACTTTGGAGGATGCCTTTGATAAAACATAACTCCTAATTAAATTCTCAGGACTCCTTCAACTTTCAGATGACAAGTTTTGAAGATATCATTGATAATATGTATTTTGATTGATAATTCCAGTTGACACTTACTAAAATTAATTCATTTTATTTTCTTTTGATGGATTTTGTGATCCAATCGATATCTGTATCAATAGAGCTTCATGTAAAGCATAGTAACATGTGCAGGATTTAGTAACAATTTTTGTTTCGAACTTAAGAATTAAATCTTAAAAAATGATAAAAATATTAAATATTCCTGCCTTCAGTTGTAGATTTTCCAGTTTTGTTTGATTGTCTTGTGAAATATAAGTTAATCAAAACAATAGAAGAATCAAGACTCACAGTAATTTAAAAAAAAAAAAAAATAAATGGTTTAAAAATGATTTAATTCAGCATTTTCTTTAAGTTGAGTATTGGTGTTGAAGCTGATCGGCCCGTGAGATCTAGGGTTGATACATTGCCAGGTTTGTTTCTAACTGGCCTTGTTTCGGATGTTGATATATGTGAAACACTGGCCATAAGTCTTCATTTGAACACACGGCCACTGGGGCTATGTCCATCACGAGACTATCATTACCGTAACTTATTGTGTGAGGAACTGACAGGGAGGCAGACATCGCCTAGGTAGACATAAGATTTATCTGTCTTACTCTTTCACTTCCTCATTTCCAAGGTCATGTCAAGGACATGGTGTAATTTGAAGGATGATATGTCAGACAAATATGTCAATAGGTGCGGGTGATTTTTAAAAATGGTATGTTCTTTGTGTGTAAGTATTACATTGCTGTAAAGCTATTGTTCTAAGCTGCCAACAGTAGCAGTAGCCTATCTGCCTGTCTCTAACCAACCTAATCAGAAATTATTGAAATTAACATTTACAGATAGTTAATGAAATGATTGACAGATATCTGTCGTCTGATGTCGACCTTATCGATCATTTCTGTTTTAAATTCATCAGTTGTGGGTTTGAATTATGCTTTTAACTTTCATTTTTTGTAAAAACTCTTTCACTCTTTGATTAATCTACAACTGAATTATCTTTCATTTTCATGAAGGAATCTTTGTTTTATTTAGAAATTAAATTATAGTTATTACTAAGTGGTTAATAAAGATTTGATATTTTAATAATCTAGACTTAATCATAAATCTACAGTTCATTCTGTCCTCTCATCAAACAGTGCCTGGTAAAGCTTTAGGAATAATCATCATAAAATTAAATTAATTTTAAAAAATGTTAATTATTTTCAGAGCAGAATTGATGAAAGTTGAAGTACAATTTCCTGTTTTAGTGAAAAGATGAAGCAGACTATCACACTTAAAATTAAAAGAAGTCTTATTTTCATAAGCAAGGATACAAATTAGAAGTTTTAGTAAGGTTAAACAGTATTTTGGATACATTTAGGAAAACCTTGATCTTTTAAAAGCTAACTTTGTATTTTTCTGACACACATGGATTTTTATTTCCATTAAGTAATTCTGCATGTTGAAATTATCAATAGGAGTTATTGTGTTGCATGAGCAACAGGACAACTGGTCTATTTCTGTAATGGTCAAGCTGGACAAAAACGGCTAACTAATGACGTAATGATGACAGACTTCTGTGTACACTGACCAATGTGTAGCTGCGGTTTACACAGAAGCCTCATGCAGTAGGAAACAGGATTTGATGTTACATAGTCAGATTTGGTTACCTAAGCATTGCTGGCTTTTCCACACCATTTCTACAGAAATAATCCACTTGTGTGGTTGGGTAACAACGAAAATTCTGATAATATAAAATGTAACTTTATAGGGGGAAATAAAGTATATAGACAGTTCTATAGCTGTTGAAAGCCAGACATAAACAGAAAACAAAAATATGACTGTTGTTAACATTTAAGAGAATAAAATGAAGTGCTCAGGAGGGGTAAGCATTTTCTGCATCATCAATGACATCATGGAATATCATGTCCTCAAAATGAGAACTGTGTTAATGACAAGGAAGTCACTAATTTTAATTACAAAAGTAGACCTTGGCTATGGACTTCAGATAGTCATTAAATGGGGTCAACTATTGACCTATAAAAGAATTTGTAAAAGACGAGACGTGTTAAAGGTTTATCAGTCACTTGTTTGTGCTTATGTCTTTGTTTAAAAAGTTTGTATAGATACTAGATTGACATGAAATAGAGGGTGGTGAAAGGAAGAGTTTGATAAACCAATGCTTGGATGTGTAAAATAGACAGTGTTTGGGGTTATCTCCATCTGAACAACAACCAACTGGATAAAGTCATTCTATCTGATTTCTTGCACAAGATAAAGTGAAAGATTCCTAAAACAACATAAATAAGATATTACAGTGCATGATAAAATTGTCATAGAACGTACCCAAATGAAATTCGCACATAACACACAGTGGTGTCCATGTTATTGGCAATACATACTTGTTTGATAGCATGAATATAAAATTGATATTAAATATAGTTTGTTAGGTCACCTGAGACAAAGTCTCCCTCAGAGTGACCTATTGCAATTCCCCAGAATCGTGTTTTATCTGTGGTGAACTTTTAACATTTTCAACTTCTTCTGAAAAACTCCTTAACCAATTTCATTGAAATTTTGCAAAAACATTCCATGGCGAAAGGTGCACCAAAATTGTGAATTATATGGTCCCCAACCCCCAGGGGCCTGAGTGATGGGGCCAAAAATGGGTGAAATTGATTAAAACTTCAAAAATCTTCTTTTCAAATCCAAGGTATGGTAGAATGAAGTACTTTTCATGGATGGAAAGGCCTTCAGATGTTTTACCAAAATTGTAAATTTCACGATTTCAGGGTCTTACATTTCCCCCTAGGAAGGTGTAAAATTTACGATAATTTCTATTGGAAAATTACATTTTTGAACATAATTTGTTTATTTTCTATTAGAAATAGATCAAACCTGGTTAGATTTAAGATGATGGTTTAATGAGAAGCACATATTGACCTCGGCTGACCCCCAAAGACGGATGGGTGGGGTCAGAAATCGGTCAAATTGACTGAAATTTCAAAAGTCTTTTTCTCAATATCCAGATGGTGTAGAACCAAATACTCTTCATGAATGAAGGTGTCTTACAGTGCTGTATAAAAATGACCCTAGGGACTCGCATTTCCCCCAGGGAGGGGTAAAATGTTCTTTATGTTATATAGAAAAATTACATTTCTGAGCATAATTTGTATATTTTCATTCATAAAGAGTTCAGACTTGGTTAGATTATTTTTTATTAGTATAAGCTGACTGTTTGATGAGATGACCTTATTGACCTTGACTGACTGCCAGGGGCTGAGGGTCGGGCCAAAAGTGGGTCAAGTTGACTGAAATCCAGGATAGAAGATTTTATACAGGAAATTCAAATCTTGAGTGTAATTTCTTTTAATTCAAACTTGGTTAGAAGCCTTAGCATGGGACAGCAGTTAATGTACACACAATTTACATTGCATTATGTGTACAATACAGTTAAAGTTTTATTACTTTTTTTATAAAAACAAAATCATTTCTATGACATAATTCATTTTGACTAAGGTGACCGTTGAGGCCCCTGGGCCTCTTGTTATAAATATGTTACACATCACTTATATTTATAAGAGGTATAAAGGACCTGGACCAGGACTTTAACAGAAATAGAGAATTACTTTAAAGATATCACTCTTTTACAGATCAATCAAGTGAAAATGTACAAATAAATCTGAAGGTCATTGAATGATTTAAAAATGATAAGTAATCGATACTCTTTATTATACTTATAGATATAAACGGTTTGAAACATAAATCAAAGACTTACCCTGTGTATGGCATGAAGGACATACACTTCTCTTAGTAAAAATGTTAGCTATCATCAGCACATCTTTTTACTTCTAGTCCAAAGAAGTCAGAAGTAAGAAAGGAGAGAGAGGTAAGGTAGGAAAAGGAAGAAAGAATTACACAGCACATGTCACAGGTCAGGTGGTCAGTCATTGTACCTAACAATAATATGCCTATTCAGGGCCTACTAGAAATGTATAACAAAAAAGGGGAAGTAACCATGTGCTTACAGGAATGAATGTAAATAAAAGACATTGATATACAACAGGATGCCACAAATATTTATCTTGCTTTGCCTTCAGTAGATCACAGTGAACAAGTACTGATTTTAAACAAACATTAAATGAGAATTTCAGGTGTTAAGTGAATTTTATTTTTATAATTGTGTTTGAAATATGATAAAATAAAGAATTCAGACTTGACTGAATTGTCCCATTACTTGTAGCCTTGGTATTGGGAAATAGAATGCATTGTGGGGGAATGTTTAAATTGATTGTAGAAATATCCAGGGATACT